CCTTGGTACAATGACAATGAACATGGTTATCTCGTAGACAACCTTTGGCCATATACTAATATCACGTGATGTTGCCGACACTGTTAATGTTGTCTTTTTCAATTTAATGACACTTTACAAATAAAAGAGCAGAATTAAACTATGTATACCCTATTATAAAATTGCTGCAACGGCGGTCTTCATTGGTCGATTCGTACCACGTGCTGCTCAGTAATTAGACAATACCAGAACAGTGCTTGGAGACTATAAATGAGCGCACACATAACATTGCATAGTAATACGCAATATCCAATGTTTGCTCAGAATTGTACAGATCGTTTCAACAGCAAATCAATTAAGATTCGTTCATTTCAATCACTCCTGGTCATTTTCGTTCGAAAAATTATTCAGTATGGTGTTTTCGTAAGTCATTTGCTTGTGAACGTCATCGACTAGCACATGGGTTATACTGTGTAGCATTCTCCTAGCCAATCGAACATAGTGTTGATGTCACGTTGGCGGATTTAAACAATACGTATACAATTATTATTACAACCCACAAAATAGACAACTCAAGCAACAATCACAAAACTGTCCCCAAAACACATTTGCATCATGCTTAACACAGCTATTACCTAAATACACTTCGACGTGTGCGTGAAACTTTTGGGACATAAACAAAATCAGGAAAACAAATGAAATCAGTTGTCCAAGAGTTCAACTTAAGTCATGACACTGTCAATTGAACATTATTTAGGAATAATACGAAACGTTGGATGTTTACCTAAGTACTTAATTAAATCCAATAAAAAAGTGGAGTTGTGGTTTTGGAAGCCCTTCATGAGTTCATGATTCATCGGGATCTGTGATAGAAATCTTACACTTTTAAAGAAGGCTGCCTCGTTCTAAGCCTCGTAAGTGTAATATCAGGGGGTAAAATCTTTCTCCTCTCGGGGTCTCCACACTGTCGGGGGAATCTCGTCTCGTCTCTCTCTCTCGTCCCCTTGAGGTACGGGATCGGAAA